GATGTACAACTTCAACAGTTCTTTGACCACATGGGATATACAATCAAAGCACTTATCTTACCATACATTTTACAGTCTCTTTCTTCATTTCCCTCCTTAATCATCTTAAATTCTAGAGTTTACCATAATCACTTCCTATCATGTTTTTCTAACTCTACTACTTTGATCTCCAAGGTACTTATGCAGCTACATCATCACCTACGCTGGCCAGAAGTAATTAGAGAAAAAAATACACAATCATCTGAAAACTGATCTCATTTTAAATTTATTACCACTATTCTAAAGGCAGTATCTAGCAATACTGTCCTTCCCTATCCATTCACTCTTAAAGATAATTCTTTTATACATTTTTATATAATCTCCAGCATCTCATTCCCAACCTCCACTCATAGCTACATATTTCAATTCACAAATTCCCAACAATACATCCACCAACCCAGCTCTATGGGTCTTATACATGCTACCTACCTTCCTGTTACTATGGACTAACTATCATGTTTCAATGCAAGACCATCTCTTTCACACTTAACACACCAACATGGTCCCACTTTCCTATTCAGGCTTTAATAATTTTCCCTGGCTCTCCTCCGTCAGGGATTTTTCTCTGTACTGGAGCATTTCCATTAACACATGAACATGCTGTTACTTTTCCCCATGCTGTTATTCATCACTTATTACACCATGTTTTCTATTTCTATCTACAGCTAAGTTCTTTGAAAGAATTATCTATACTCCCTTTGCTCCTGTTATTCTTAAACCCACTGCACCAAGCTTTTGTCCAAATCTATAAAGAAACAACAGCTTATCTTAAGGTCTCCAATGACCCCCACACTGCCCTTTATCAACTCTAGTTTTAGCTTAATTGGCCTATCAGCAACATTGACTCATTTGGGGGGGGGGATGCGGGAACCTAGGATTGAACTCAGGGGCAATCAGCCACTGAGCCATATCCCCAGCCCTATTTTTGCATTTTATTTAGAAACAGGAACTTGCTGAGTTGCTTAGCACCTTGCTTTTGTTGAGGCTGGCTTTGAACTCCCAATCCTCCTGCCTCAGCCTCACGAGTCGCTGGGATTACAGGCATGTACCACTGTGCCCGGCCACTGACTCCTTCTTTTCATTGAACTTTAAGGATATCATATCCTCTTGAATCTTGACCCATCTCAAACTCTTACCAATTGCTCTTTCTAGCTTTTGCAAGCTGCTCCTTTGCTAGCTGCTTCTCAGCTCTTCAATTTCTTGTACAAGGTCCCAGTACTTGAATCTCTGAACTCACTACCTACATTCAGTCTCAGGACTTTAAATGGCTTCTACAGGATAATAGTCCACAACCTCTCCTTTGAATTCCTGACTCCTTATCCAATTTTCTACTTATTCCTTGCCACCACAAGATATCTAATAGGTATCCATACAAATAAAAGGTAAAGTAGCAGGTCTGAGACTACATCCTTTTAAAAAATCTGCATATAAAGTGGACCCTGGCTGGCTGGTATCTGTGAAAGAATGATATTTATGTAAAACAATAGAATCAATCCTGAACACTTGCTTTCTTTCTGGAAGTTTGACATTTTGGTACTGCTAGACAGAGGTTGGCTATCTGACTCAGTCTCCTTAAAGAAATGGCTGATTCAAGGTCTGGGGCAGGAAATTACAGATGAACCTAAAATATATCATACCAGAAGCCCTGCCCCCTAAAAACAATTATAAAAGATGATTAGAATTATATCAAAAGAAATTAGAATTAACTTGAAGAAGTTCCCATAAACATATGAGCATAAACAAGGCAAACAGTGTAATGGGTCAGATCATATCAAACATGCTTAAATCCCCAGGAGTAAATAGAGAAAACTAAAGCAAACTCTCTCAATGGTCATAGGGACTTCTTTAAAGCTGATAAATGAGATATAAAAAAGAATTTCATCCTATCTTAATAATATCCTAAGATAACCAACTATGTGATGAAAAGAAATCTTTTTTTTTTTTTAATTTTGTGATACTTAGGATCAAACCCACAACCTCATGCTTGCTAGGCAAACTCTCTACGAAAGAGATAAATCCCCAGTCCTTTTTAAATTTTACGACAGGGTCTCTCACCAAATTGCCCAGGATAGTCTTGAACTTGTAATCCCCCTGCCTCAACCTCCCAAGAAGCTGTAATAGAATTGAGCCTCCATGCCCAGCTAGAAATCTATCTTTATAGAGATCCTGCTAGTAACCAAAGAAGTAATGATATACTATGATCATTTTGCTAGCTGCGTCTCAGCTCCTCAATTTCTTGTACATTTGTGAATTAGTGGATCTTTTAGGCAATGATCCTTAATGGTTACTAACCTCACAAAAATAAAGACTATAAGAAAGAGTGAAGGAAACCTATAGATTGAGACCAATTACAATGCATGGGTCTTATTTAGATCCTGACTTGGACAAACAAATGTGAAAGTATTATAAGACAATTGGAAAAACTGAAACATTGACTAACATTTGATAAATGAAAGAATTACTGTCAGTTTATAGTGAGATAAGGCTATTGTGGCTACATTTAAAAAGCAGTATGTGCTGAAGATATGAAGTGTTTTCAGATAGAATAGCATTCTATCTCAGATTTCTTCATAATAACATCAGAGAGGAGGGGCAAAGGGTGTAGACAAAACAAGACTGGCCATGTGTCAATAACTGGTGAGATGAGGGTGATGAAACACAAAACAATTCACTTGTACATGTTAAAATATCCTACAGTACAAATCTGTTTGTTTTTAAGAAACCACTGTTTCACATCCACAGGATTGAGAAAAAATTTGAATAGTCTGACAATACCCAAGATTGGAAAACTCTTATGTTGGAAGAGTAAATTGGCAAACGGCTTTGAAGTATAATTTGGAAAAATACAGTAAAACTGAGGGCACACATACCATTTAAGAGAACAATTGTACTTCCAAGTTTCTACCCTGGCAAATTCTTACCCATGTATACATAAGAAAACATGTACAAGAGTGATCATGGGAGACTACAAACAATAAATTAAAAACAACTTAAACTCCATGAAGAAGAGACTGGATAAAGCATGGAATATTCAGAGATACTACGACATGACAACAAAAATAAATGAATAAGAGCTACATATCAACACAGATCCATTTTACAAATATAATTGTAAATAAAAATGAAATTTTAAGCCAGATGCAGTCAATGCATGCCTGTAATCCCAACAATTCAGGAGGCTGAGACAGGAGGATCACAAGTTCAAAGCTAGCCTCAGCAACTGAGCAAAGCTCTAAGCACATTAGTGAGACCCTGTCTCAAAATAAAAAATAAAAAATGGCTGGGGACGTGGCTCAGAAGTTAACACCCATGAGTTCAATCCATAGTACCAAAAAAGTAAATAAATAAAAAGTAATTCTAAGAATACAATATATAGCTAGGTGCAGTACCATATGCCTGTAATCTCAGCTATTTGGGACACTAAAGCAGAAGGATTTCAAGTTTGAGGCCAGCCTCAGTAATTCAGCCAAACCCTGTCTCAAAATAAAAAATAAAGGGGCTGGAAATGTAGCTCAGTGGTAAAGCATCCCTGGGTTAATTCTCCAATAGTAAAAAATAATAAAAATAAAAATAAATTAAAAGTTCTGGGGATGTAGCTGGGCACTAGAGGGTCCTTGGGTTCAATCCCCAAGTACACATACATACACACATATATATATACACACACATATATATGTTTATTTTTGTTTTTATTCTTTTATATATATATGTATATAATGACTTTTAAAACAACCAATGTAGGATTGTGATTACCTTTGAGGTAGAATAAAAGGGATGTGATCTAGGGTAAACAGAAGGTTTCAACTATACTGATCACATTTTATTTTTTAACTATATATATTTACATAAGTATTCATTATATTGTTCAGAAATATTTTTAATATTTTTTTGAATCCTACAGAGAAAAACACTAAGAGGCAAGTTTATGGATGATTTTTAAAAGAGTTTTATATTTTAAAAGTTTTACTATCATGGATAATTAATGTGTATTGTTTTCATAATATCAATTTTTTTGATAATTCAGGCTTTTCTTTCACAGTCTTTCAACAGAATATAATGCTCCAATAGTATCATAACAATGGTCCTATAGATAGCATTTCAGTATGAATTGAGAACAATGATAGCCACTGTTAAGGAACTAGTAGATAAAATAAATATACTACAATTTTCAGTTTGTAATAATGAATTATTATTGAGACAAAATTATAGTAATTTTAGGTGTGAAGTTTTGACTCACTGAAAATCAAAGAACTAAGCATCACTATAATTATCACATATCCCACCCTAATTTAATCCTCATAGAAAGATTAATCTGCATAAGGAGTAACAGATATATGAGATCTAATTTTTTTGTTTTTATGATTATATGCCATTATTAGATTTGCCACTAGGAGGCTCCAAATAGCACAGCAAAATTCTTCAAGTTCAAGATATATACTGAAACCAAGAAGAGAGGAATATATTATCCTGATGAACTGGAGGAAGTACTTAGATATATGCAAAACAAGTTCATAAAGCTGCCAATGATAAAGAACTCTACTCTTTTAAATTTTTAGTTTCCTCTCCAATGGTTTCTTCCCTTTAGTATCAAAATTTTTAAAATTAAAAAATTAAAAACAAAAACACTTCTATCTGGTTTCTTTGTTCTCACTTCTCATTTACTTTTCAAGCTCTAATTTGACTTCTATCCCAACAATTTTCCTATAATACTTAGAAACCAATGACTTTCTAATAGTCAAACATAAAGGTCAGTTTTCAAACCTTTTCTTACTGCCATTTGAAACTGTTTATCAGTTCTTCTTTCCTCAAATATTTTACATTTTTAATCCTAAAGGACCTCCAAATTAGAAATATTTTGTGATTTATCTGACAATCATTCACACTCAACACTATTTGTCAGGCATTATGGCCAAGTATTAAGAATGCACAACAACAAAAAAAGGATCTTTAAAATGATAATTATAAAGCAATGATATGAGCTACTACAGAATTAAAAGCAAGGGTGTCCTCAGAAGAAAGAAGCCTGGGACAACACAATCAACATGTAACTGCCCATTATCTGTATTTTTCATAGGCTTTTTTGACTATGGTTAACCACAAAATTGTTACTTAATTTGTTAAAGTCATTATCAACATTATTAAATCTTCAGAAAACAGTTGTACTCTTCAGCCCAGGAAAGCTATCTAAATTGGATCACCCAAGAGATAGATCTATTGTTGCTAATCTCCAAGACATTTAAAGAGTATATGATACTGCTTTTGTGTCCTCAATTAACACTATCTCCTAAATGCCTGAAAATCTAACTTTCATTTCCTATCTCTATTAAGACAATAGTGAAGTCCAAATTGCCAACTACACCCAGCACTTCACTATTTCAGCTGTAAAACTCTTTCTTTCCTTAGTTTCTAGATCACTGCTCTTTCCTAACTGGTTCTTTCACTGCTCTGATTTTTCTTTACTTCTTCCTGGTGCATCTCTTCATTTCACTCATTTCTTTTTTTTTAATTTATTTTTTATTCTAATTTGCTATATATGACAGCAGAATGTATTATAATTTATATTACACCTATAGAGTACAATTTTTCATATCTCTGGTTGTGCATAAAGTATATTCACACCATTCGTGTCTTCATACATGTATTTAGGGTAATGTTATCTATCCATCACCTCACATATTTCTGGAAATTTGTGTTTTTTGTTGTTGTTGTTGTTGTTGTTTTTGTTCATTTTTTTGTTTTTGATGCTGGGAATTGAACTCAGGGGTACTCAACCACTGAGCCACATCCCCAGCTCTATTTTGTATTTTAGTTAGAGACAGGGTCTCACTGAGTTACTTGGTGTCTTGCTCTTACTAAGGCTGGCTTTGAATTTACAATCCTCCTGACTTAAGCTTCCAGAGCAACTGGGCGTACAGGGTGTGCCACTGAGCCAGGCTTTTCTGGAGAATTTTATCCAATCCTACCACATATCCAACTGTGTCTTACAAATCTACATTGAACCATCTTTTTTCTTTCTCTTTCTCTCTCTCTCCTCTTCAGACCTATATTTCTAGCATCACCACATTTGACAGGATCACAGAAGAATCAAGGACAAGATTCAAATCTCTATTTGCCTTCTAGATTCAGAAAGATGGTGAAGCGCAGTGGTAAAACCAAAGTGTCTTGAGAGTTCAAAGAACCACCCAAAGAAAGAAATGTCTGAGGTAAATAAAAATTCTACAAAGCATGTTATTTATATGTAACAATTACTTCAGTGTACCTTCACTTATTTGTCTGAATAAATACCCCTATAAATGTAGGATTCCCACCCTTCCAAAAATTAACTAGAAAGCCCCATTTAAAAATGAGTATTTTTTAAACCTATTTATACCAAAGGCTGCTACTACTAAGTACCAGAATGAATAGGAGTTATGAATGTGTAAGTAAGGGGATGGACAGTGATGAGGGCAGGGGAAACAACATATTTATCATAGCAAAATTAAATACAAGAGTTAAGTTAACAGATAACCAATGAGTTTCAAAGATTCTAGAATTCATTTTGGGTGTATGCAGAGGGTTAAAGCTCAGTGAGATACCAGATGAAACTTGCAAGTACATATCCATTACCACAGTTAATAATTACACAATTTCTCAATCTGCAGGAGGCCACTTCAGTCGGAAAGACCAATATGACCATAATCTTTTATCTTTAGAGTGGTCAGAGTCTGATGAATGGGTCAAAGATTTATAAAACACGATGGACTGTATCAGCAGGTTTTGTCTTTGCAGAATAGGGCAACTAAAAAATGCTTATTACTAAAGACATGGCATTAAAAGAGAGCACTTTCTCCATCTTATAACAAACTCCAAAACTACACTATTATAATGGGTTATAACTATTATGAACACTTTTTGTGTCTATTTCACCCAAATACCAACAACTATAAAATTATTCAATAGCATCAACTAACAAAATGAAGAAGCAGAAGCATGGGATCATAATTAAAAACATGGTTTGGAAACAAAACAGATGTGAGTTCAAATCCCTGCTTTCCAACTTACCAAAACTGCAAAATAGAAAGCCCTGAAGTCAGGTGATCATTACATGGAGTTCATTATACTGTCCTTTATAGATCTATATATATTTCACAAATCCATAATAATGAATCAAATTTTTCTGTCAAAGGAGAATAAGTTTGTTAATTGAAAATAACATCAATCACTTCCATAGAGTGCTATAATGAGATGGTATACAGTAATTACTCAATAAATAATTAGCTTTTTATAGTCTTATACCTAGGAAACTCTATACATACATACTTGACAAAATCCCCTGTATTTCTTTCATGTGTTTGTCTTTAATGTGTATTTTTACACAGTGGTAATGATAAAATTGAAATAATTTGTATTCTGCTTCAACCAATACATGCCTACCCTTCTATGTCAACTTATAATCTTCTTAATAATTTTTAATACTTGCTTGGTATCTTAAAGATGAGTCTCATTTAGTTAACCATTATTTCTAATTTATTAACTTGTTTCTTTTTAATTTGCATTTTAATTGACAAGGAAAAATAGAATATCTTTATAGTAGAACACATCATGTTTTGATATATGCATACATTGTGAAATTCATAAATCAAGCAAATTAGCATATGTATTACCTTACTATTTATCTTCTACTTATCTTGTATTTGTATGAAACTTAAAATCTACCCTTAGCAATTTTCAACTATATATTAACTTCAGTCACTGTAATGTATATTAACTTGTTTTCAATTTATCATTATGAAAAATAATGCTACAATAAATTATTTAGCTCATTTAGATCACTTTTCAATTATTTTATTTTGATAAACTCCTAGGTATGGGATTACTAGATTCATTTTATGTACATTTTATGACTATTAATATTTATTATATTGCTGTTTGCTAAAGAACTGGATGGCTTATAATGCCACCAACAATACCTGAGGGTACCAGTCTTACCACAATATTGTTAGAATCTTAAAAAGTAATTTTGTGTAACCAGGCATGGTGGCACATACCTGTAATGCCAGCAACTCAGCAAGCTGAGGCAGGAGGATTGCAAGTTCAAGGCCAGCCTCAGTAATTTACTGAGACCTCAGCAACTTGGTAAGACCCTGTCTCAAAAAATAAAAAGGACTAGGTAAAGTGCCCCTGGATTCAATTCCCAGAACCAAAAAAAAAAAAGTAATCTTGATAGTAAGGATATTGAGTTACTTTACTATTGTTTTATTTGCATTTCTCTAGTTATTTGCAAAATTAAAAAGAGTGAATTTTAAATTATACGTGGATTAATACTTTTAATACACGAGGAATATGCAAGCATGTGTACACAAAGATACACAAAGCAACAAAAATAGGTTAGGGGGGCTGGGGATGTGGCTCAAGCAGTAGGGTGCTCGCCTGGCAAGCGCGGGGCACTGGGTTCGATCCTTAGCACCACATAAAGATGTTGTGTCCGCCGAAAACCAAAAAAAATAAATAAATATTTAAAAAAATTTTCTCTCTCTCTGTCTCTCTCTCTCAAAAAAAAAACAACAAAGGTTAGGAAGCATATATCACAGGGGAAAAATGTACATGGTTTGAAACACAGATGACACCTATCCTCTTCATAAAGTGCAAGAAAATTTTATAAATTAATGAGAAAACATTTTCTACCTATGAAACTAGCAAAGATTCATTAAAAGAGAACAGGGTACAGGGCAATGGTTTATACCGGTAGGAGTTTAAACTAGTAAAACATTTCTGGAGGGCAATATGGCAATCTACGACAAAGGTCTGAAAATTCTGTCTCCCTTTGGTCTCATTATATTTCTAGGAAATTAACAAAAAGAAATACATTATAAACATTCTCACAAATTCACCTACAGGATTTTCGTAGCACTGTTCTTTATAATGTTAGGAATATATCCATCAGTTGAGGTCTGGTTATACAAATTATGGCAGATCCAAACAAAAGCAAACAATACAGCCATTTACAATAATGAAGAATATAGTCATATAAAAATTTGTTCTCAATACAGTGATAGGTAAAACAAGGAAACCATAAAAAATTACATACAGAAAATTTCATTTTACATATATATTTGAAAAATATCAACGTCCATTTTACTAATATTTACACTGAGGTTAAAATACTTATGTGTTCTTTGTGATGACTGATATAAGTGGTGGTAAAAAGAAAAAAAAGAAACAGTTCTTGCCATACATGGTGACACATAAAAATTTTTTAAAGAGCAGAGGATGTAGCTTAGTGATAAAGTGCCCTTTGTTTCCATTCCTAGTACCAAAAACAAAAACAAAAAGAGAAAGAGTTTTGTTTTGTTTTGTTTTTGGGATACTAGGGATTAAACTCAGGGGCACTCAACCACTGAGCCACATCCCCAGCCCTATTTTGTATTTTTTTTAAATATTTATTTTTTTTAGTTGTAGTTGGACACTATACTTTTATTTTATTTGTTTATTTTTTAATATGGTGCTGAGGATCTAGTCCAGGGCCTCGAATGTGCTAGGAGAATGCTCTACTGCTGAACTAAAACCCCAGTCTCCTATTTTGTATTTTATTTAGAGACAGGGTCTCAATGAGTTGCTTAGCACCTCACTTTTACTGAGGCTGGCTTTGAACTCACATGCCTTCTGTCTCAGCCTCCCAAACCACTGGGATTATAGGTGTGCTCCACTAGCGCAGCTGAGTTTTTGTATTATTTAACCTCATTTAACCAATCCAATTTGTTGTCTTAATTCATTTGTACTAACAAATAACTGTGAATACTAGTAATTCATATACTATATACATTTATGCTGAACTCTATTCTTAAGAATTACTAATAGTTACTAGACACTAGTATCAGATTTTCCACATTATATATTAATTGTGAAAGGTTATAAGATACCCATACATATTATTTGTATCTCAAAAAGAAAAGCAATTGAAGTTTAAAGCTATTACTCATTCCTGTATCTGAAGTAAAAGCTACTAAAACAAACCTGAGCAGACAATTAATTTCTTTTTTAAAAAATGTTGTAGATGGATATAGTAACTTTATTTATTTATGTGGTGCTGAGGATCAAATCCAGTGCCTCACAGGTGTTAGGTGAATGCTCTACCAATGAGCTAGCCACAACCTCAGCCCCTGGATAATTAATTTCTTAAATTTTCTTTCCTGAGTACTGATTTCCTTTGTAGTTGTCTTTGGTATTCATATAAAACATCTATAATCATATTTTTATCATCACCTCTTATCACCACCTAAGGTTAGTACAGTGCAAGTGAGCCTCTTATCCCTGCTTGCAATACAAATGGGACTTTCTCCCTCTCACTTTCCTTTACAGGGCACTTGCCTTCTTCCAATAAAGTCCAAAGATTTAAACGGCAAGTGAACCTTAGTCTAGCTTTTTGCTCCCCACCTTACAAATAGGTTGACACACAGTGGTAGAGGGGCGCTTTACCACTGAGCTTTATACCTAGCCCTATGCACTTTCTTTTATATATATATATATATATATATATATATGTTGTAGATGAACACATAGTATCTTTATGTATTTTTATGTGGTGCCAAGGATCAAACCCAGTGACTCATGCAAGGTAAACGCTTTACCACTGAGCTACAGTCCCAGCCCCCGTCCACTTTCTTAATGACATATTTTAAAGAATGCAATTTTAACTTAAGTAAATTCTAATTAATCAATATTTTTTCTTATTCCAATCTTTTTTATCTTAGCTTGTTATCCAAGAAATATTCCAGGGTCATAAGGTTATTTTCCTTTTGAAATTCCTAGAAGGTATGGCAGTTTAAAAAGATATTAACAAGTAAGGCACAATGCCTAAAGACTCAGAGGCTGAAGCAGAGGATCTCAGGTTTAAGGCCAGCCTGAGCAATTTAGGGAGACCCTGTATCAAAATTTAAAAGAAAAAAAAATAACTGGGGATGTAGCTCAGTGGTGAAGTGCCCAGGTTCAATACCCATTACAAAAAAAAAAAAAAGTCCACAAATTCTTTGATACTCCTCTTGTAACAGGGGCTCATTTAATACCATCCCTTGCTCTCTCCTCTCCTCTTTGCCTTACACCCCTCCCTAAATCAGCTTGGCTGAACAAAAGTCCTTCCTAAGGCTTTAGTTAACTAGCTGCAGGTCATAATGATGTTACTTCAAGAGAAAACACACATCTGGATGCCAAAGACCTTGACCAATACAAGGACTCCCTGCCTATTGTTTCACTGTACACCCTTTTCTACTATAAAAACTCTTTGCAGACTGAAACCCACAAAGATGGAGATCTGAGAAGCAAAAAAGTCTATTCTTTCTTTCCTAGGACTAGCTAAATAAACCCATTTCCTCTAACTAACTTGTCTCCAGATGAGCAGTGAGTAGCATGACATCCATAATTTCAGTTAAGATTCAAGAGTTACCATGTTAGAGTGCTATTGCCAGGTGCAGTGGCACATACCTGTAGTCCCAGATACTCAAGAATCTAAGACAAGAGGATCACTTGAGCTCAGGAGTTACAGGCCAGCTTGGGCAACAAACAGACCCCATTTCTAAAAGGAAAGAAAAAAAAAATTACGTAAGCTTAATTCCTCTAACCTTGAATATAGGCTGGAGTAATGAATAGAATACAGTAAAGTGACAGTGTGTGACTTTCAAGACTTGTCATAAAAGGCACTTAGCTTCCTCCTTGCTCTCTCTCTTGTATCACTCACTCTGAGGGAAAACAGCTACCAGGTCCTAAGGGCACTTGAGTGAGCGATTCTCCAACTCCAATCCAGCCTTCAGATATAACTATACTTGTTACCATCTTGACTGAAACCTTATAAGAGACCTAAGAATTACCTAGCTAAGGTCCTCCTGTGTTTTCGACACAGAATAACTGCAAAATAATAAATATCTGTTGCTTTAAGCCACTAAATATTGGGAAATTTGTTATATAGAAAGAGATGATACAGAAATTTTATAGTTTTTATACTCAGATTTTAGGTATATGATGAAATGCAATTCCATTAGTTTCTGTGTATGGAGTAAATAGGAACACTAGTTCATTGTTTCCCATATAAATATGAAGGTAGAATGACATTTTTTTTTTTTCCTGCTGGATTGACTTGACACTTGGGGGGGAATAAGTGTCTGTGTATTTCTGAGTTCTCCATTG